TTATTTACTAACTAATCTTAAATGACTGTTCAGCACAGAAATGAAGCCCAACAATCATGTTTTACAGTCCCGTGGTCTCAGCCTCAGATACTCAACTAATCAAAGTGATGTCATGACAACAATGAATGACCAACAAAACATTTTTCTCCTTCATTTCTGTCAAACAAAGCTGTATGTAACGTTTCTCGCGGTTAGTATCATGGTTGCTAGGCAACCTGAACAGCGCGACGAAGGCTAGACCGTCCCATTTCACAAGCCTCTCACTTCCGCACTTCTCGTACTTATAGTACGCACCGTATGTAGTACGCGTAGTGCGCATACTTCAAGCGTGCAGACCCTGAATTGGGACTCAGCCTGTGTGTATTTAAGTCTTCTGTTGTAGTAGTTGCTGGTCCGTCTGTGTATCCACCATGCTTCATCTGTGTGTTCTCCCTGCTGTCCGTCGTCATTTACCGCTGCTCATCCTCCTTTGTGTTCAGGTCCTGGTTTGTGTTCAGTAGTTTAGTAGTCCTCAGTTTAAATAGTCTTCAGTCCCGTTTGCTGTTTCTCCATTTGCATTTTGTGTTCAATAAACCACCTCCCCTTCACGAGTGCCTGCGACTTGATTCTCCTTTAATATTTCCACACGACTCACTCTACTCGCCGTGACAAGTACATGGTTGTGAAGCAGGTCATATAAAGCTTTTACTAATTTTCATATTTGGTGTGACCTTGATTGATTTTGAACTGATTTAAATTGAAGTTAAAATGCCTCGAGCTGTTATTGGTGTCTGCCATCAAGCGTTGGTCCAGTTACTTTAAAAAAAAAAGTAATTAGTTCCTGAGTGCTTATTACTTCTCCAAGAAAGTAATCCTGTTACTTTATTGATCACTTATTTTCAAAGGGAATTTGTTACTTACTTACTTTTTAAAAACATGATACACAACCTGAATAGGTAATAAAGCAATAGATCCTTAAGCCCAGTTCTATTTTTTCTGCATAATCTGTCATATAAAAGGTAATGAAATGAAAAAGTCTCCTTTTAAAACTTGTTTTAATCTTTTAACTTTATGCACATTGCACAAATATTAAGTTATATGCAACATTCTCTGACTGGAAGAAAATCTTTAACATTTAAACCAATTCTCTGCAATATTCCAGCAAATAAAATAAAATAACTTTTATGTTTACACTCACTCTTTCAAACAGATGAGAGTAAAACACAGCAAAAAATAAAGTCAAAGATTCAGCGGCACTAAATTCTGTCACTCTTAAATCTACTGTCACATGTTTAGCAGGAGGTGGAGGTTTGCCCGGTGCCACAGAGGTCATGTCAGTGGGAGGATCTGTGTGAATTTCTCATGCCCGTGGCAGTGCTTGCTCAGATTTGAAGTTTAATTTTTCTCTGTAAAAAGAAGTTTTCTTCCTACGCAGAGTGAACAGCGGACGCTAACGTTTTTGTCACTTTTTATGGAATCAAACTCAAAGTAATGTCAGTACTTCCACGCTTTAAACGCTGCACACTCATACTCTCTCCTGCACTAAGACACTCTCACAAACAAAATCACGGTTCACTAATGCAGTAATGAAGAGTTCTTACAAGAAATTAACAGTAATCTAATTACGTTTTTGCAATAGTAATCCCTTACTTTACTCGTTGCTTGAAAAAAGTAATCAGATTATGTGTCACTGCCCACCTCTGCTACCATCACACAAAATTTGGACATGATGTCTTGAAAACTGTGGACACTAGACAGACAAACAGAGCTGATTATGTCCCTCGTCCTTTAGAAGGGTGAAAAATGATGCAGAAAGGAACCACAGTGAGATCCTAAATGTTCCAGTTTTCCTTTTTCTTAGTGTACCATCTCTGCTTATCAACTTTTGAGCTTTTGTGTTTTGCTTTTCTTCTTGTGATGACAACAAACAGCCTTTTTTTACTCCCTCTTTCTCTCTCTGTGACACAGGTACAAAAAGGTGATAAAGGAGAATCAGGATCATATGGATGCATTTAAAGCCATCAATATCTTCAGAGAGCACATGATGGCCCAGAAGGCTTTCTACAAGGCTCTGTAAGAACATATCAGTGCGCGTCTCTTTGTTTTCTGTTGCCTGGAGTTTCTAATGTGTGCGTCTCTGCTGCAGGGTCTGTTCATCTGAAGAAGGCAAACAATGAAGAAGTAAAGCAAGATGGGTCAGCTTTACTGTAGAGTCGGCAAACTGTCAAATGAATTACCTTGATTATTCTTGTTTGGTTTCAAAGCTCAGCTCAGTCTTTCTGTTTTCAGCAGTTTTATGGACAAGTGCATGTTTTTTTGCCTGCAGACAGACGTCACTGCTGGGATGAAGGAAACAACTTTAACTCTCTTCAATCAAGAAAGCTTGATGCTGCGTACTGAGAAGCTTGAAAAGAAAAGCAACTGGACTTCTTTGTTTCACGTTTCATCTCTGAGGTGAAACATCTTCAAGAAACTCAAAGAGGTCCAGTCAGTATTCTTTTCAAGCTCTTTGGATTACCATGACCTGGATAACTGAGAACTGTTTCTCCCCCCTTTGAACCAAATCTTCTGTTTTTTAATATACCTTGCCCAGATTGTTTTTGCTAATGAGCAAAAAGATTATGTATTAGATTTGAGATATGAAACATTTAATAAAAACACTGTAAAATGTTTAAGTTAAAACACAGTAATTTACAAGGGAAAAATGTGAAGCATGAGAAAAGATAAAATCTGTTATAAAATCTGTTATGGGTTAAAGCATGTAAACCTATTCTAACAGAAACCCTAAATAAATAAAATAAAAATAAAACCCTCAAATAAAATAAAACCCTCAAATTCTGAATTTGTGCAAAGCGTTGTTTTTCCATTTTAATCCAAAGGGAGAAAAACCATTGAAACTCTTTATTCATGTGTGTTTATGTTTAAAGATGCATCGTAATAACAGACCATTTCAAACGGCTGTCTTTGTCTCCCCCTGCAGGCTCAAATAGGACATTGCACCCTTTTAAAGCTCTGTGCAAAGTAATTGAGTACTACTATTAGTACTACACTTATCCAACTTTACTACTACCTTACATTATTACCAATGCTACTATTTAGGAATACTTTCATTGCTTTCATTTCTAATACCGCTACTGCTTCTACTCTACATTTGCAAAAATGTTTGAGCAAACACAGACAAAAGAGGACACGAAAGAAACAACTTTGAATCTCTTCAAGAGTATTCAAGACTGTTAAATTTGATGCATATTTTTAGTTTGAACTGCAACCTATGAATTAAATTTTATTTTTTCTGATATCTGTATGTCAAATTTTCCACTTGACTCAAAATTTGGAGTTCAGTATCTCGAATTTTCAACTTAACTATAACTAAACAATAACTAAAGTTGAAAATAAGCTGAAAGTTCATCATACTAACATTGTATTTTGAGATAACTTTCAACCTAACTCTGCCTGATGTTTTAATATATTCACAATGTTGTTGTTTTTTGGGTTTGTTTTGTTTTTATCATCGATGTGATCAGGTCCTGGCCTAACATTTTTTATTTAGGGTTATAGAATTTGAAACATCGAGCAGGTGTTACAGAACACCAGAGGATTATCGCCGTTCTCTACTGTAGGGAAATACTCGATAGCTAATTAGCATTCTGCGTCAAAGATTTTGTTGGCAATAACATAGTGTGATTTAGAATACAATTATTTGGCAATAGCTACTTGCAGCACTGGCTGTTAAAGCGGTTTAAAAATGGACAAACCCTGGATATTTGCGTGAACTTGCTTAATATTAAACGCAGAAGTCAGGGTTTTTCTATTGGATGAAAGGCTTACGTTAAGAGACAAGCTAGCATTACCTAACATTGAATAGAAAAAACACAATTTAGGGTTAGATTACCTAAATTAAATTATCCTTTTTGCTAATGTTGATCATACTTTCCACTGATGGACATATTCCAGTTATGGCAGATGAGCTTCATTATATGAAGCTGTTTTTCTTCAAGCTAATCATTACAATTTGGATGTGGTTGAGGCAGAATAGTGGTAATGGCCTTTACTGATTTCTATATCTACTTCACTTCATGCAATACTAACATTAAACCATCGTACTGTCATAGCAAAGATTGAAAAAGAACATTGTGAATACCTTATTATTAATAACATAAGATAACTTTGACATAATTGCTCTGTTTGAACCAGTTATTTGCAACTGTTTACATAAAGCGGAAGCCTTAGTTATACATATTGAATATGATACATACGACAACAAAAATAAAATGTATTCATGGCCATTTTGTAACGTTATTGCGATAGGGCCCCCTTCTGATGTTTTTACGTAATTTGAAGATGTCAGAGACATTACATTACATTAGGGACCCCAAGCAAATGTTATTTCCATGGGCATCCTCTGTTGGTGTGTGGTGTCTATTTAAAGTTTCATACTTAGTAGTATTAATACAACCATCAACAACCACGTATGGTGCAATGAATGTTTGTATAAGTTTCTTGTGAGACATCGTGTACACATTGCTCAAGAGTTGTCACTGAACGTGATAGAACTACAGGTCGTAAGGGGAAAATGTGCGTTCCCCGACTGGTTAGCGACTAGTTTATGGAGGTTGCTCGCTGTTCCAGGGTGAAAGTGATAGCTAAGAGGCTACTGCACCAAAAACCTCATGGCTATGGTGACATGGTTTTCTGTGTTTGGATGGAAGATGGTAACTTGCTTGCAAAACTAACTGCAAGCCAAGTGGTAGAAAACTAGAAAAGTTAACTACCGCAAGATGGTGACGTGAGCTGTCGCAGTGGTCCGCGGGCTGCACAATTTAGCAGCTTTCTTTTTTATTTTGAGTATTTTTTTTTCACTTCTCCTCTGATTAGCAAGAGCACATGTGTAGTACAGTAAAACTGAACAGCTCATGGTTCTAGACCACACAAACCTGCACACTTTCTACGACAATGACTGGGACTCAATCCCCCCTGATATCCGAAGGAATACGGACTCCAACTTCACCATACAACCGCTGAAGTGGCACAGGCAATGGAGGCACAGGAAACAGAAGATGGGGAAGAGAGCGGGGCTAAGAGCTAAGCTAAGTGCTAACCCACACAGACCTGCTATTCCGAGTCTCTTCCTCATCAACTCACGGTCACTAAACAACAAGATGGATGAGCTACAACTGCGGACTGCCTCACGTTGTTTGGATTACTGTGCTATGATCACAGCAGAGACTTGGCTGGACTCTTTTACCCCAGACACTGCAATTGAGCTAGCGGGCCACACTACATTCAGACCGGACAGGAGAGTGTAACAACAACAAAGACTGGTAAAGTGTTCCTGAACCAGAAGCCATGGCTCAACAGCGAGGTGCGAGCTCTACTAAGAGCATGGGACAGTGCCTTCAAATCAGTAGACCAACAAGTCTACAAAGAGGCACGCCAATCTCTGCTTAAAGCGCATAACAGAAGCCAAGCGCAAATACAAACAATGCACTTTAACACAAACAACTTCAAAAACATGTGGCAGGGGATCAAGACACTTACTGGCTACAAAGACAGTCACATACAAACAAACTCCATGGACATCACCTTACCTGACACCCTAAACCAGTTCTTCACCCGCTTTGACCAACAAAACAGGGACACCATCACCTATCCTGCTGTTTCAGAGAGGGACAAGGCCCCCATCCAGCTGGAGCAGCATCAGCTCAGAGCCGCACTGCGCAGAGTCAACGCGAGGAAGGCAGCTGGTCCAGACAGTGTGGCAGAAAGAGTGCTTAAAGCATGTGCAGACCAACCAGCAGAGGTTTTCACCACCATCTTCAACCTCTCACTGTTAGTCTGTAGTACCATCCTGCTTTAAGTCAACTACCATCGTTCCAGTGCCCAAGAAGAGCTGCTTGAATGACTACCGTCCAGTTGCTTTAACATCCGTAATTGCTAAATGTTTTGAGAAACTCATCATGTTGTACATCAAAGCTGTCATCCCTGCAAACCTTGATCCATACTAATTTGCAAACAAGGCAAACAGGTCGACAGAGGACGCCATGATAACAGCTCTTCACACAACCCTCACACATCTGGACAGTAGTAACATTTATGTGAGAATGCTGCTTTTTGACTACAGCTCTGCCTTCAATATAGTTCAACCCCACAAACTGATTAATAAAGTAAGCTACTTAGGACTCAGTAGCTCACTGTGCACCTGGATATTGGACTTCCGGAGCGATAGACCCCAGAACATCAGGATGGGAGAGCACACCTCCTCCACCCTCATTCTGAACGTAGGTGTCCCACAGGGGTGTATCCTCCATCCCTTAATATACTCTTCACCCATGACTGTTCTTCAATTCACACCAGTAACACCATTATAAAATTTGCAGGCGACACCACCATCATAGGAGTGATTGACGACAACAACAATGAATCAGCCTACAGAGACGAGGTTCAGCATCCGAAACAATGGTGTGACAACAACAACCTGCATCTGAACACAGCCAAGACCAAGGAGATGGTCTTGACTTCAGAAGAACAAAGCAATCAGAGCACTCAGCCCAAGGAAGTACAGGGTGGGCCATTTATATGGATACACCGTAATAACATGGGAATGGTTGGTGATATTAAAGTCCTGTTTGTGGCACATTAGTATATGTGAGGGGGCAAACTCCTCAAGATGGGTGGTGACCAGTGTTGGTCAAGTTAATTGAAAAAAGTAATCAGTAACTAATTACTGATTACTTGAACTTACTTGAATTGAACTGAGGGTCCTGTTCCAATTTTTGTTTTGCCCATTCTGCTAATTCTGTGCGCTGATCTGGGTCATCCTCGTTGAGATGCTGCAGTAGCTGGAGTTTGTAAGGGTGCCATTTGTGAGTAGCTAATATCCGCCGAAGGGATGTTCGACTAATGCCACTCTCTAGTGACATGCGGCGAGTGCTACGCTGTGGGCTCTTGCTGAATGAAGCTAGGACAGCCACTGATGTTTCTTCATTAGTGGCAGTTTTCTTGCATCCACATTTTGGCAAATCCAACGCTGAACCAGTTTCACGAAACTTAGCAAGCAGTTGGAGCATGGGAGATGGGTGGTCTCGTAGGGTGTCTTGCATTGAAATCTGCTGCAATGACCCAGTTACTGCGTTCACCAGATATCAACACAATTTCGATCCGCTCCTCACGTGTTAACCTCTTCGACATGTCAATGGCTGTTGAAAGGCATGTCTTTCAGAAAGAGCAAGTCAAAAAGAGAAAAAACAATTGAAACCTCTATTAATTCTCACCGCACACACAAGAAATTGAAAAAATAAAACACCAGCAATTATTGCTGGACTGTGAACAAAGAGAAACTTGTAAATAACTCATGAAAGAATAAAGTTACGTTGAAACCAAGCACACCATTGTTTTTCTTGTGACATTAACAATACGTTTGATGGGTCACATGGCCCTCTTCCTATTGAAAAAACAAAAGTTGTATCCAAGATGGCCGACTTCTAAATGGCCAACATGGTCACCACCCATCTTGAGGAGTTTGCCCCCTCACATATACTAATGTGCCACAAACAGGACTTTAGTATCACCAACCATTCCCATGTTATTACGGTGTATCCATATAAATGGCCCACCCTGTAAGGGTAGAAGGCTTTACGTTCCTCGGGGTCCACATCTCGACCAACCTTAACTGGTCCACAAACATTTTCCACCAGGTAGGAGAAGCACAACAAAGGATGTACTTCCTCAGGAAGCTGCGTCAGGCCCAATTACCCCAGAGACTGCTAATTAACTTCTACCCTCTGACCTACTGCTCCACACTCTGGTTCAACTGCTGTACTGTGGAGGACAATAGGAAACTGCAATGGGTGGTGAGTGCAGCAGAGCGGGCAACTGGTATTTCACTAACCCCCTCAGAGACATTTATACTGGCAGACGTCAGCAGAAAGCTAGCATCATCATCAAAGAACCCTCGCACCCTGGACACTCAAAACACTCCCAAACTGTGTTTCATTGTTCTGGTAACAGTGACAATAAATATCTTATCTTATCTTATCTTATCTTATCTTATCTTATCTTATCTTATCTTATCTTATCTTAAACAAACAAAAAATGGACTTCACAGTTTCACCACTGCTTGGAGAGGAGTTGCCAAGTGTTTGCAGACATGCAAACTACAAGCACCAGCAGCGATCTGCTTCCGACCAAAGCAGTCAGCTATTTTCCTTGTGACCAGCAGTTTCCAGAATGGTCACTGCACTCTGGAGCTTTAGCAGTCAGTTTCACCGCAGCTGGCATCAACCACTCACCAACCAGTCAGGGAGTGCAAATTTTTCTCTCTAGCAACCAGCGGTGGTCTATGGCAGCCCAGTGTCACAGGTCCAAAATGATGCAAAAGTTAATGTCACATGGTTAGTAGTCAGGTTACTGCTAAAACATGTGGCTAAACAGTTATGGCCACGTAGACTTGCCAAAATTTTAGGTTAGGTATGTAAAAAAGAAAAGAAAAGAAATCCAAATTACTATACGTCTAAAGTTGGACACACCTAAATAAAATCTTGAAATGCTGAGATAATAAATGAAAACTAAAACATTTTAAATAATAACCTGAATAATAACAACCTAAAAGTTCATCTTCTTTTGCAAACATTATCACTATTTGTATTGGTGCCAGCAGTTCAAGTATCGTGTGTAATCTGAGCTGGGAAAAAGTTACTGCTGTAATACTGCATGCAGCCAACCTGATGCAGTATGTGGAAACAGGTCTGTTAGATCAGTGTTCAGTGAGACAGTGGAGCAGTTGCAGGATCATGTCCCCCTTAAGAGTATCCAACATGCAGGTTTCTCCTCATGGTTCGTGCTGATGGAGGCTGTTAACATGTTATGTGCCCTGTGCAGACACACGCTGCATCTCCCTCACACAGACACACACACAGAGAAAGAGAGAGGGAGAGAGAGAGCAGGAGGAGGAGGCGGAAACCTCCATCTGCCCTGCTCGGTGACCGACCCGTCATCCTCGGGCTCGGGGAACAGACGGATCGTCTCCTCGCTGTTGTCATTTTTTTAATTTTAACTTTCACATCTCTGGATGAGGAAACCGCGGGGAGATGATGTGACCACGGGAAAAGCGAGAAGAAATTTAACACGGAGCAGATCTTCAGTCTATATATAGGCTATGCCCCGGACTGCACCACCACCACCACCTGCCCCCCCTGGTGCCGGTAAGTCACGGAGGGAAGAGGAGGTGGGAAGCTGGGAGAGAACCGTGGTGTCCCGGGGCGGGTTGGTGCTAGCCGTGCCTGGGTATCGTTGGTAACTGACCCGTGAAAATGACTTTTGAGGTCTCGTGAGGTCGGGTTACCGTTCAGCCATGTTGCAGGAGATCGATAGGCGAGGGAGGGAGGGAGGAGGTGTGTGTGGGGGGGCCGTTGGACTCTTGACACCTGCCCTTGTTCCCCATAACTGAAGGCAGCGCGAGGGAAAACCGTTAAAAATGTGTAAATTGGCAGTTAGGCGGCTCTAAATGGCGTGATGACTTTCTGACTCGGTGTGGCGGGGAGTCGGAGTGCCGTTCAGCCATGTTGCGGGGGGGTGTTGGGGGGGGGCTGTACAGGAGGAGGAGGGAGGTAACTAGCTAACAGCGGGGCTCCGGGGGCTCTGACTCCGACCGACCGACCGACACCGAGAGGGACGTGAGGGGAAGGGGAGGGGGTGTTGTGGAGAAGCTGGTGCCCGATGATTGTCGCCTCCCTGCCGGATGCGGCGGCGGCAGCAGCCCGCGCGGTGTCGCTTAGAGACGGAGGCAGGAGGCAGAGCGAAACGGGGTCGACGGGGGTAGTGAGTGAACCGAGGCAATGAAGAGCCTGCCAGCCACATTTGATTTATTAAATAAAATTATTTAGTGCAATTTTTTAATTAACAAGGCCCTAAATGTAAAAAAGATGAAGCAGTGAATTTAGCAGGATTTTTTTATTTATTATTTACTATTATTATTTAATTGCTA